GTTTCCCCAATATCATGCAGCATTAGTTGACTGAGGGATTTTGTATTGTAAGACATTTCAAGCTGCTATCCAATTCACATTACATTTCAAAAAGAGAACTGTTCAATAGTGCTGCTGTTCATGTTAAATGTAATATTACGGGCAAGATAAAATGCTGGAGACAGTAAATAATGTGATGTGTACTTATTCTATTAACTGAAAATGAGCACATTATCCAGCTTTGTGATAACAGTGCATTATTATTTAACCGTTTATTTGATTTGAATCAGGGTTAGTGTACAAAAAAAAACATTAGTCTCAGAAGAGAAGAGATGCTTTGTACCAGATTTAGCTAGCTAGCTAAGTTCCATCTGTTGTCCCTGGGCAGATGATGGCAACAGCAAAATACAAATCAACCAGACACACACGCACGCACAGCACACGCACGCACACGAGAGAAGAAAGACATAGAACAATTTACAGATATTAAAACATTATAGTTTCCCTGAGAGATCTAAAAGGTTGTCGAGATGACACATTAATGCTGACAAGGCTGGTTCCTTAAAATCCATTTTTTGACTTCCCGGGTGAAAGTGCAGAAGTTTGTGCAAAGTTTAAGACTAGTTGGAAGACTATTCCATTCCTTAACGGCTTTAAAAGAAAAAACTGATTGTGCTAAAGCGGAGCCACGTTTAGGAACACTGCAATCTCCATTAGAGGCAGACGTTGAAGATCTGCTTATCAGCTCAGAGCGAAGTTTCACAAAGCTTTTCAATGGTGGGGGAGCAGCATCATGGATTATTTTGTACACTAAGCGGACATCGGTATAAAAATTAAATGGTCAAAGCTCAGAATTTTATATTTATCAAGAATATCACAATGATGATACTGTTGTGGTTTCCTGTCCAGAGTTTTAAGGGCTTGTTTATGAAGTGACCTTATGGGTTTTAAGACAGTCTTGTTTGCTTGGGACCAACATGATATACAGTAATGAAAGTAAGAAAAAATCATAGCATTCAAATACATTTTAGACGCTTCGACTGTAAGTGAGTTCCTGATATGTCTAAAGTTGGCTATGTTATATTTAACTTTATGGCACATCTTTTTAATATGACTTTTAAAAGTAAGGTTGTGGTCTAGTGTAACACCCAAGTATCAAGTATCAACCCAACTCATCGACCTTTTTTATCATTTGCCCACCTACAATAATATTTGGAAAAAACATATTTTTGTGTTTATTTACAAAATACATGACCACAGTTTTGTCAGTATTAACGTAACGTATGAATAACGTAACCATTCTATGACTTGTTCCATTGCTAATGACAGTTTGGCAGCTACTTGTTCAGGGTCTTTCCCACATGCATATAGGACCGTGTCGTCTGCATACATCAAGGTCCCCACATCATCACACACAGATGGGAGATCATTGATGTATGCACTAAACAACAACGGTCCTAAGATGGAACCTTGTGGCACTCCCATAACGCAGGCTTTTAGTGATGATATTTTATCATTTATCCGTACGACCAAGTAGGTAAGACTGAATCCAATTAACAACGTTAGCAGAGAGTTTAAATTTAGACAATTTGGAGATGTGTACTGAATGATTAACTGTATCGAAAGCCTTGCGCAGGTCAAGAAATACAGCACCCACCACCCCTCCTTTATCAAGGCTACCTTTAATGACTTCAAGGAAGTAGCAACATGCCATTTCAGTGGAATGGTTTGCTCGAAACCCAAATTGCATAGGGTGCAGTAGATTTTCAATATTAAGATGGGCTACCAGTTGTTCAGCAACAACCTTTTCAATAACTAGGTTAAGGTGATTAGATCATGTGTTATAAATGTAATGAAACACAAGAACACAGACTTACTTCCCAATCCTCGATGGGGTCCGCTGGCTTTCTCTCACCAACAAACTTGTAGATATTTCCAGAGACAATGTTTTGCAGAATTAGAGTAGAGCTTAACCAGCACCTTAACCTGAAAGGAAGACTGAAGGCTGAGCACAGCTAATGTTTGAGGCAGAAATGATTCTATTTAACAAACGATCTCTCATTCAACTTATTTTAAAGCAAAACAATGCACTCATCATGCAGATCCATCATCTTACTGGTGAGGATTTTCAGTTTTTTAAAATCTTAAGTAAAAAAAAATATTTTCAAAGTTTTTGTCTTTTGGTACTAAAATACAAAAGTTTGAAGACACCAACATTAATTTGGCATCAAAAAAGGGATCAAAATCATATAAAAGCAAAGAAAAGGCAACAGTATCCTGAAGTTCAATGCAATCATTCCCTCCCTGCTCATTGCTCCATTCTAATGCTCATATATTAAAACAGCCTTTCAATGTCATAAAACCACAAACTGCATATATTAATATGGACAATGAGTTTTGGTCTGTTGTATAAAGAGCAAAGACAAAATACCGGCCAACATTTTGTGCTGGTGACTTCTTTTGGAGCCAAGACATGTGCAAACTGAAGCACAACAAAACAAAAAAGATCCCTCAGGTCAGAAAGAATCCCAGTCTCGATTCTCACATAGTTGCGATGTCATGTCTGCGTGATGCCGATTCTCTTGCTCCTTTTTCCTTCACAAACTGCACTTATGCTGCACTCGCGTCAGTATTTCCCACACAGACAATACTCGGGCTGCCCAGGTACATGTATAGCTGCCCAAGTAGCCTATATTTTAAAACTATATGTTTTAATTATTCATAAAATTGCCGTCCGCACGAGAGAGAGAGAGACAAAAAGAGGGCTGCTGTTTGTTCCTCCCTCCTGTTAATGCACCTGAGGTCCAGCCCTCCTGACATGTCAAAACTGAAGCTTCTCATGACTTAGTTTTATTATGTTTGTGAAGCTGCTTGCTGCCGATGTGATGATGCTCTCTCTTGGTTTTGCTGAATCTTGATAACAGGCCTTCACATCATGCTCACCTGTTGTAATAACTGAGATGCTAGATCAACTTTTTAAAGAGGGAGTTTTGTTGTGTTGCACAGAGCCCATGAAGGCTCAGTTAAAAAAAATCAAATGCTGTCTGCTAATCAGTACAATGGACTTGTAAAGCGTGGCTACGGACTAGCAAACTGTTGACAAGGTTTCATAAATTCTGCGAGACAAAACAAGGGGCTGAGGTCCATCAATTATTTCCATCAGCAAGGCATATCTGCTTTTACTCTCTCTCTCTCTCTCTCATGCGCACATCTTTATTCCATTTCTTTAAACGAGACAAAATCAGGATGAGAATGCAGGAAAAGAAATGTTTGGTGCTTAACATTTTCTTGGGGAGACCCCACCTGAAGCTGGCTAGAGAAACACTGGAAGCCACATACACACCCATTCAAAAAAAGTCTGTTTGAGACTGTAGATCACATGTTCAACCATGTTAAATAAACTGTACTCAATGTTGACTGTTTTCTATTTACTTTAGCCAAGTCAACTGGTCTGAATTTATATTTGATGTTTTATGTTCAATCAACAGCAAGTTAGTCGATATGTATTGTATCCTTTAACATCTTAAGATTCAACTATTATCAAAGGATTAGAAAATCATAGTACCACTGTTTAAAGTGCTTTTTGGCAGCCTCCACACTCTCGTCATCAATCTCCTTACAGAAGACCCTGATCAGCTGCTCAGAAAAGCACGTTGTGCGAATCCTGGATCCCTGTAAAGAAGGACAGCAGCTTTAATTTGAGAGTTGTGGTGACATAAGCTGCCTTACAAATAATTTAAAGATAAAGATAAAGATAAACTTTATTGATCCCCTGTGGGGGAAATTTGTGCATTACAGCAGCTCCAGAAAACAGGGGACGGGAATATACTTATTAAAAATAAAACTAGAAGTTAAAATCAAATCAAACATATTTACATCATTTAAATAAAATAAAAAATACAATAATGTAAAATTACACAGTAATTAAGGGATTGCTCTTAAAAAAACACACACACAGTGTGTAGCATGAAGTGGTGATGTTGTTAAAGAGTCTGATTAAACAGTCTGACTGCAGATGGGATGAACGACCTGCGGTAGCGCTCTGTCTTGCAGGGTGGGTGTCTCAGTCTGCTGCTGAAGGAGCTGCTCAGGGCCCCCACAGTGTCATGCAAGGGGTGAGAGGGGTTGTCCATGATGGATGTCAGCTTCACTAACATCCTCCTCTCACCCACCTCCTCTACAGAGTGCAGAGGACAGTCCAAGACAGAACTGGCCCTCCTGACCAGTCTGTTCAGTCTCTTTCTGTCTCTCTCCATGCTCCCTCCTCCCCAGCAGACCACTGCATAGAAAAGTGCAGACGCCACCACAGTGTCATAAAAAGTCTGTGGCAGAGTCCTGCACACTCCAAAGGACCTCAGTCGTCTCAGCAGGTGAAGTCGACATTGGCCCTTCTTGTACAGGACGTCGGTGTTGTGTGACCAGTCCAGTTTATTGTTGAGGTGAACACCCAGGTATTTGTACGTCTCCACCCTCTCGATGTCCAAGCCCTGGATGTACACCGGCGCAGTCTGGGGTGACTTCCTGCGGAAGTCAATCACCATCTCCTTTGTCTTGCTGGCGTTGAGCTGAAGGTGGTTGAGCTCACTCCAGTCACAAAGTCCATGATGACCTGCCTGTACTCCTGTTCGCTCCCCTTAGACACACACCCCACGATGGCTGTGTCATCGGAGAACTTCTGCAGGTGGCAGCTCCCAGAGTTGTAACAGAAGTCCGAGGTGTACAGGGTGAAGAGAAAAGGGGAGAGAACTGTCCCCTGCGGGGCCCCTGTACTGCAGACCACCATGTCAGACTCACAGTCCTGAAGCCTCACGTACTGTGGTCTGTTGGTGAGGTAGTCCGTTGTCCATGCAGCCAGGTGACAGTCCACTCCCGCCCTCTCTAGCTTCCCCCTGAGCAGTGCAGGCTGGATGGTGATGAAGGCACTGGAGAAGTCAAAGAACATGACCCTCACAGTGCTGCCGGTGTTCTCCAGGTGAGTCCAGGATCTCTGCAGCAGGTAGATGACGGCGTCATCCGCCCCGATGTTCGGCTGGTAGGCGAACTGCAGAGGATCCAGATTTGAAGTCATCAGGGGGCAGAGGTTGTTGAGGACGATCCTCTCCATGGTCTTCATCAGGTGAGAGGTGAGGGCACAGGTCTGAAGTGGTTAGGCTCCCTGAGGTGAGATGTCTTTGGGACTGGCACCACGCAGGAAGTCTTCCACAGAGTCGGTACCCTCTCCAGTCTCAGGCTCAGGTTGAAGATGTGCAGAAGGACCTCACAGAGCTGGTCTGCACAGTCCTTCAGGAGTCTGGAGCTGATGCCGTCGGGACCTGTGGCCTTCCTCGCCTTGATCTTCCTCAGCTGGCTTCTCACCTGATCAGCTGTTATGGAGAGGCCATCGGAGGAGGAGGATGAAGAAGAGGAGGGGGTTGTTGGGGGGTCGTCTGAGGAGGAGGAGAAGGAGAGGGCTGTTGAGGGGGGTGGCAGGGTACTCAGGGTACTCAGATGGAGAAGCGGGCTGGTCTGCGCTCTGGTGGGTGGGGGTGGGGTTGGGAGCAGAATCAAATCTATTGAAGAACAGATTCTGTTCATTTGCCCACTCCCTGTCTCCTGCTTCAGGGCCCCTCCCACGCCTTCTGCTGTGACCTGAGATGTTGTTCAGGCCCCTCCAGACTTCTCTTGCATTTTTATGTTGTAAATCTTCCTCCATCTTTTCCCGATAGCTGGCTTTCCCCTCCTTGATTTTTATCTTGAGCTATCCTTTTGCACCCTCCTCAGCTCCTCTCTATCTCCAGATCTAAAAACCCTTCTCTTTTAATTGAGCAGGGTTTTCAGCTCAGGGGTCACCCAGGGTTTGTTGTTGGAGAAACACTGTATTTTTTTGGTGGGTACAGTGTTCTCAACACAGAAGTTTATGTAATCTGTGATGCAGTGGGTTAAACCGTCGATGTCCTCCCCATGTGGGCTGCACAGCACCTCCCAGTCAGTGGTGTCGAAGCAGTCCTGCAGCGCCTCAGTGGCCTCCTTAGACCACTTCTTCACATACCTGGTTGTGGGGGGGTTGTTTTTTCACCATAGGTATGTAAATGGGCTGCAGTCTCACCAGGTTGTGGTCTGAGCGGCCCAGAGGGGGGAGGGGTGATGATCTGTATGCATCCTTGGTGTTTGCATACAGTAAGTCCAAAGTTTTATTGTCCCTAGTATGGCAGTCAACATACTGAGTGAAAGTAGGGAGAGTGGCAGACAGGGAAACGTGGTTAAAGTCTCCTGAGATGAGAGTAAGAGACTGGGGGTGTGATGTCTGTAGCTGAGACACTACACTGTGGATGAGTTCACAGGCTGCAGCAGCGTCTGCCGAGGGGGGGATGTAAACAGTCACCGCGATGACGTGTGAAAACTCCCTCGGCAGGTAATATGGCCGAATGCTTACAGCCAGCAGCTCCACATCCTTAGTGCAGCGCTGTTCTTTAACGGTGATGTGCCCAGAGTTACACCATCTCTCATTCACATACATCGCTATTCCCCCGCCTTTCTTCTTACCGCTCTCCCTCGCGCTCCGGTCCGCTCTGACGAGGTGGAAGCCGTCCAAAGTTACGAGCGTGTCCGGAGTGAGTTCATTCAGCCATGTCTCCGTGAACTGCATGATGCTACACTCTCGGTACTCCCTCTGAAGCCGGGTGAGCGCCGTCAGCTCCTCCATCTTATTAGGGAGAGATCTTACATTCCCCATAATTAAAGACGGCACGGATGGTTTGTACCGTCTTTTCTTTTCCCGGCACTTCACTCCGGCTCTGCATCCCCTTCTCTTCCTCCGTAGTTCTGCGGGGATGTCCGGTCTTTCGGCTGGATGTAACCGAGGCTGGCACAGCGCAACCAGCTGTTCACGGGTGTAAACAATGGAGCCCAATAAACAGAAGAAATATTGCGATAAAAAATGTTTTAATCAATATTTAGTTCTTACCTTTTCTTCGGGCATTGGCTTTGCCTTGTCAAGCTCAGATTTGCTGTAGAAATGAACATGTTGGATAGGGTCCTTGTCGTCCATGCCATAGTCCATTTCAATGACCTAAAATGAAGGTTGAGAGTAAAAGTATGTCTGCAGTAACAAATTTTGCAACATCTTACAAATCAAAAAATCTGCAAAACCCAAGATTTTACAAAAAGGTGAAATGAAAGAAAGTCAAAAAACTCACCAGGATTTCAAAGTCCTTTGGTGTCAGGCTTTCTTTCTCCCTCAGCCAGTCCTTTTTTCCAGCTAGGAATCAGGCTCTTGAAAATGGAGCAGAAAAGTTGAGAAGAGTGCGAAAGGATAGAAAAGGTTTTTTGCATTTAAAGTTGACAATGTAAGAAACTTGGAATTCATTTCACATTCACTCAAAAAACTGCACCAACTTAGTGTAGATATTTTTGACTGTAGGGCTGCATGGTATGATTTAAGCATCATTTTTGCTATGTGTACAAGTTCTATGATAACATTACAGAATATATAATATCAATCATATGTCCTGAAATGCATCATTTCATGCCATTTTTTGTTGTTTTTGCTTTTGAAAAAACAAAAAGCCTTCAGTTTCTCTCTTTCCATGACTGATCTACAATATCAGTCTGTCTGATCCTCTTCCTGATCACAAAGAGAAGTGACTTCTGTGCAGGCAGAGTCTATGTGCACATAAGATGTAGAGTTAAAGGGATCACATGCAGTGTGTGACGATGAACTGTTCTTTACTGTCACAGGGCTCTTGATGCAAATTAAAAGTCACTTTGAACATATAAGGGGTTCTTATTTGAAAAAGAAAATAGAATTGAAGGCCCAAATGATAATACAAATTGTAATTGTATGAACCTCAAAGGTTATCGCAGTTTCCCCAATATCATGCAGCATTAGTTGACTGAGGGATTTTGTATTGTAAGACATTTCAAGCTGCTATCCAATTCACATTACATTTCAAAAAGAGAACTGTTCAATAGTGTTGCTGTTCATGTTAAATGTAATAACAACACGGGCAAGATAAAATGCTGGAGACAGTAAATAATGTGATGTGTACTTATTCTATTAACTGAAAATGAGCACATTATCCAGCTTTGTGATAACGGTGCATTAGATCATGTGTTATAAATGTAATGAAACACAAGAACACACAGACTTACTTCCCAATCCTTGATGGGGTCCTTTGGCTTTCTCTCACCAGCAAACTTGTAGATCTTTCGAGAGATGATGTTTTGCAGAATCTCTCTTGCCTTTTCTAGCTCTGAGCAGGAAGACTTCAGTATTTCCTCAAACACTTTGTCTAAAAGAGTAACAGAGTAACAAGCAAACAAATGATAATAACACACACAAAAGTGAGTGAATTTAATTGAAACACACTCAATAAATTGTAAGACATGGCATGTTAATTTATAAGTCATCACAACTAAATTAACAGGATCTGGTTTATTTATCTTTAACAAATGCACGATAAAAAAAATGGATAAAGTAGCATAACTGTAAATGACCTAGCAACAGAGCCATCTGACAGAAAGCAGCATCTAACAAAGTGTGTTTCCAAAAAGTGTTGAAATATGTCACTGTTACTTCATAAATAAACATCCTAAATATCAAACAAGTTCAAATGATCAGGACAGCCAGTTGTTCAGGATGTTTGAGACTGGATTTGTGAACTCCTCAAACTACCAGATAACCTTGTCCTTGGCCAAACATCAAAACCGACCAAGTGCCTACACACAATTTCCTTTTCAGATTGTTGGGTGTAGTGCATTATTTAAACAATGTCTTGATATTTCTGAAGTCTGAATTGGCTTCAATGTTAAACATGAGCTAACAGCACACATTTAAATCTACACACCTGTGAGCTTTGTGTAGGCCTCCATGTCCTCATTGGCTGTAGAGAGAGTGAACATCCTCCCTCCTGATCCTTCAATCTGAATGTGACCGTCTGCTTTAAAAAAAGCCTCTGCAATCCTGTATGTTCATATCAAACATATTATTACTGATGAGATAGTGAATCATGATGCAGATCAAATAATGGAAATCAGAAGGAGACCAATCTTATATTTGGAGTAATAACTTCTGAAGGTAGACACTTACAT